AGTGTGTTTGGTAGAAAGGATCTGTCTGGATAGAGCAAAACATAGGTGGAATTATAGAGAGTCTGCTGAACAGGGAATGGCAAATAAATCAGAACAGCAGTATCTGGAAGCTAACAAGAATAAAAATATATCTTGAGGGAAAGGTGATACAATGAACAGGAGGCCATAGGATTGAAGGTATAAAATGAAAATGCATGTACAACAACTCTAAAGTCCCAATCAGGCAATTTTAAAAGGTTGTTTGGGTAGAAGAATATGAAAGGATCGTACGATAAGATAGCACAGGAAAGTCAAAAACTGTCCTATATGTAGAATAGTGAAAAGGAGCAGCTAAGGATGCTGTATATAATGCAAGGTAGAAGAACACAAACCTCTCTCAAAAAATGTGAAACTATGGAGACTGTTGGATGAAGTGGGTTGAAGGATCACCAAAGACACCACTGACGAAATGTAGTCCATTTTCACTGATAGATGGAATAAATGGAATGTTTAGAAGTTAAACCCCTGTGTTAGGCAATGGATCGCATAACTTCCATTCATGAAGCTGGAGTCGATGTCCGGGTGTTGAATGTTGGACCGAGGTTGTCTCAACAAAGACGAGCAAATAGGTAGTGGTGGACATTTCTGGAGCAACTGAAGAAGAGGAAAACATGTCTGAGCAGGCCAAAAGAAAACTCGACATGGGGGTGGAACAAATCATAGACAAGACTCTGGTTAGAGACAAACAGGAGGACAGGCATACAAATATAATCCTGTCCATTCCTGATGGAAAGCATTGATCATTGAAGATCCAAACTGAAAACAAATCCATTGAAAGACCTCCTGATGGAACATCCATTCTGTTGGAAGATGATCTGCTATCAAATTCATAACCCTTGGCACATGACAGGGAAAAGATGGATGTCCTTGGAATGAGCTGAAAAAAAAAAGACCCAAAGCCCGGAAAAAAAGATCACAAGAATGAGTACCTCCCGTATGAGAAAGATATGAAACCACCATGGAGTTGTCCAAATGGATCATAACAATATTGCCGTGCAAGAGAGGAAGACTTGGAATTATTGCTTGATGTACTGCAAAAAGTTCGAGAATGTTGATATGCAGAGTAGATTTGTAGTCAGTCCAAATACCCTGGAATTCCAGCCCCAGAAGAAAAAGCACTCCATCTATGAAGAGATTTCCAGAAGAGAAGGTGGTATCTGGACCTCGATAATTGTGTTGTTCCAGTCAAGCCACCACTTGAGATCTGCAAGGTGTTCTTGAGCCAAGAGACTGTTTGAACCAAAGGATAGGTATGCATGAGCCACTGGTTGCAAAGTGATCACTGAAGGGATCACATATGGGCCATCCATAGTGTGAAGTATAAGGGGAGATGGTTGAGGTCTACACCTCGAAATGGACCATGTATAGAGTTGGTGAGAAAATGGCTTTTTCTAACGTGCTAATGAAGCCCACGCTTCTGGCTGCGGAAATGAGAATTTGTGGATGTAGTTAAGCAACGTGATGGGGTGGTGCCAAAAGAAGTCAATCTTCCAAATAGTGATGTATGCACAAATCCAGAAAATGGAGATGCTACTCAAAGGCTCGTACTACTTGACAGAAAACATATGGTGCTGAATCAAGATGGGAGAGCATGGAACTGCAACACCTGGTCCTCCTGCATAAAACCAATTGGATGAGGTGTCAAAGATGGGGGCCATGAGACATGAATGGTTGATCCTCCAGAATTATCTGTTGGAGTAGAAGAGAAGACTGCAAACATGCCGTATCTAATCAGGCTTAGAAACTTTCAGGGACTCCAGCAAACTAGTAAGGTTGAAGAAAGGGTGCCTCCTGGAAATCATAAAGAGAAGTGGATGGCAAACAAATACCCTCCAACAAGGCATCTCAATCCAATAAGTACCATCTACAAATCAATCATGATACCAAGGCAGCCCTAGTGAAAGAAGAAGCAGAAAACAATGTCCAAATTCTCCCCAGTATATTCAGGTTCATGAAGATAAGCCAACTCCAAACACCCCAGAGAGAAACCCCTGGGTTGCATAAAAGAATACAACTCGTTCTGACTCCAGTTGCGCACGGCCTCCACCGAGACAGCCCCCCCCCCCAAACTACTATCAGACAACAGAGGAGGAATAGATGAGGTCTAGTTAGCCTCTGTGCCAAAAACCGTTATAAGGGAATTTATACTCACAAATTATTTTTTTAAACTCCAGAAGAAACCCAATGAAATATCGACAATGGGAATAAAACAACAAAAAGAACACCAGACTACTCTCAAAAGTTTATAGAAGAAAATGTGACTCCTAGCACTTTGTCAAGAAAAAGTGATTATATTGTCTGCATACAGTGATTTATGCTTTATACAGTACCTTCCTAGAGGGTGTGTGATGGCCAGTGTAATGTTTTGCAAATTAGAATTTGTAGAGGGAAGTCAAGTGGGGTATAAAAATTGGAGCAAGCAAACACAATGTTTAGATACCAAAGATGAAGACTGAGAAATAGCTACAAATGTCAGCAGAGGTATGTATGTTTTGGGATGACTGTTTCTCTAAAAATCTCAGTGCTGTCAGCAAAGAACAAGGGGAAAGGTTTCATCAAGACATCAGGGAAATGGAGAGAAGGTACCAAGGAAAGTGAAACATTAGCATGATGGCTGATTACTGTTGGTCACTGAAATGAGATGCTCCAGATGCAATACCACAACATGTGGTTTTGATATTAATATATGTAGATTTTACACACACAAAAAAAGGATGAATGAGAATGCATATTCATTTGACATCAATGTTCTTTCCTTTTCTTCAGTTTGTTTGTACTTTTGTTAACAAA